TGTGTGTGTGTGTGTATGTCTGTGTGTTAGTCTGTGTGTGTGTGTGTCTCTGTGTGTGTGTGTATGTGTGTATGTCTGTGTGTGTGTGTGTGTGTCTGTGTGTGTGTGTGTGTTCTCCTGGATGATTTGTGTGTGTGACCCGGGTCGGTGTGGTCCTGTTTGCTTAAACTCTGGGAGAGGTGGAGCGTGATTGCTCCGGTTTTCAACACTTTCACACACTTTTCCGGACAGTTTCCTCACCGGCCCATTCCTCCTCTTCCTAACGGACTCATTACACCCAGAGCGCACAGAGACAACCATCTACATCTGGGAAAACGCTTTTGTGCCACTGAATGGAAACAGGAAACGTTTCCTGAGAGCTCTGGCATTTCTGTGCCACTCTCCTCTCCTCCATCATCATGAAAAATAGTCTGCCTCATGTATTGGAAGAAAGAAAAAAAAAAAAGGACTAACCACAAGTATGTTACCTTCTTCAGATGGTTTTAAGTTGTGGAAGAAAAGAAGCAAAACTCTGGAGTTGTGGATCAAATCCTCAAGAAATAAAATCTGAATACACTTAAAATATCTGACGTTTTAACCCTTTAAAGCCTGATCCAAGAACAAAACTAAACAGAAAATTACTTTTTTTGGTTTGAAATTCCTTATTTGGCCTTTTAACAAAATATGTAAAAACGAAAAACAGAAATACATTTTTTATATTAATAATTGATTACTATGCGATAAGTCCAGATTATTTTTGTGTAGTCTTCTGCCCCCTGTTATCAGGTGTATCTGATTGTGTTCAATAGGATTTTGAGCAAAGTTTTTACCATTAAATTATGCAAAAGGTGTCAGACGCAAAACATTTCAGAAATAGTATGAATCAGATATGATACATTTGGCATTACAGGGTTAAAACAGAAACAATTAAATATTTATTTATTAGCTAAATGATGTAGCAGTGAAGAAAAAACTAAATAATCACTCATTTTCCAGCTCTGAAGGATTTAAAAGGTTTTGACTAACTGAGCTAATAATGAGAACGTGCTTATGAGACGATAATGAGCATATTAAGATGAATAATGTGAACATTTTTGCTGATTAAAACACATTTCCAGGAGCTGGATTAGCTTCTGCACCAGCTAACTAGCTAACTAGCTCCAGTCAACTCCAACTGCCTCCATTTGTTGGAATTTGTAGGAACTCCTCACCTGTAGACTCAGATTTAGGTTAAATGAGTCATTAGTCTGAGCAGATAATTGACTAATGCAATAATAGTTCAGCGTTTTGTCTCTCTATCTATTTCTCTTTAGGGTAAAAGTCAGAAGGGCAAAACACTTCTGACTCTTGTATCTATGGAGCAGATGTGGAGGCAGAAACAGCCGTTCTGATTCTCTCCTTCATGTTTCATAAACATACAGAGCTCATTTTGATCATTCAGAAAGTAAATAATCAGCCAAATGTTAAGGTGCTTGTTAAATATCCCAAATGAAAGAAAAAAACCTGCTTTCTCTGTATTGAATATTATTATTAGCTGTAAAAACAATGGAGGTAATTGGCCACAGAGGACCTGTTTCATCTGATGGCTGATATTTGAACGTGTTCCACATCTATTCGTTAGCACCTCCCTATAAATCCTGAGGTCGGTTTCTCCCGGGAAACTCATCCCTCCATCAGGGGGCAAATTCCTACACATAAATGCCTCCATTCTCCCCACGACTGCCCAGAGTCACCAATCCATCTAAAAACGAAGTGAAAACAGGCCTCAGCCCCCAGCCACAGCCCAGAGTTACATGATTCAGAATAAATATAGCCTGGTATTTATTCGGATTTGGCATTTCGATAAGTTACATTCAAACTTTAAAATAAAATAAATAAATAATATAATTATATCATAATATAATGAATAAAATAAATAAACATAAATAACTAAATAAATACATTAAAAATAAATACATAAATAATTGAAAAAAATTAATAGATAAATAAATACATACATACAAACATAAACAAATAAATGAATACATAAATATGTAAGTAAGTAAATAAGTAAGTAATTAAATAAATAAATAAAAAATAGCATTTTATGTGGAAGTTCATCACAGGATTCACAAAAAGACTGAACAAATACAGATTTAAAAAAAAAAAAATTGGGGGGGGGAGAGTTGCTGAAGAAAGTTTCTGAGCACCTCATACTGACTGTCAAGCACGGTGGTGGTGGACTGATGGGGTGGGCTGGTTCTGACACTGACAGCTTACAAGGAGGGACACAGGTTATAGATCCCAGTCCACCAGGAGGGCTGGGGGGGGTTACCTAATAATATAATATATAAATATATATATATATATAATATAATATTATAAATATATATATATATATAATAATATGATATGATATAATATAATAATAATATTATATATTATATAATATTATATATTATATATTATAACATATAACCTGTTATAACATAACAGGTATTATAACAGTATAAGTATTATAACAGTGTTATAACAGGTTTATCTGGAACAGTAATGGTGTTTTATCTGGATATGAATGGTTTTGTGGGTTTGTGACGTGTTTTCCTCCTTTTTTCCTCTCAGGCCGCCTCTCTGACCGTGGACCTGTGTGGAGACGACCAGGAGCCGGGATACTGCGCCGTGAGCAACGTGGCCGTGCACGCCGACTGGTAGGAGACTCACACACACAATTACACACACACAGACACACACAGGGACACACACACACACACACACACACACACAGGGACACAGGGACACACACACACAGACACACAGGGACACACACACACATCTATAGGGCTAGTAGAGCTCATTGCCATGCGAAATAAAGTACACACATACACACACTGGTACAGACACACACAAACACACATACACACACAGACACACACAGACACAGACACACACACACAAACACACGCACACACAGACACACACACACACACAGACACAGGGACAGACAGACAGAAACACACACACTAACACACACACACACACACACAGGGACAGACACACACACACACACACACACACACACGTGTGCGTATCGTTTACCGACAGCTGCTTCTATGATCCGTCCAGACTGAAACCCAGAAAGTGCCGGTGACAGTTTCTGGAAAACTGGATGAATAATTCCACCAGTCTGGGAAAATATTGGAAAACCAAACGGGGAAGTTTTCTGTACCTGGTACGGAGACGTTTAGCTAACGTGTGGCAGCTGCTAGCTCTGACCTCTGACCTCTGACCCCTCCCGTCTGGACTGGATCAGCCCTCCATTTTAATTGAACACATGATGGAT